ATGGTAAATTTTATGTTTTGTGTATTTTATTACAATAAAAAAGTAAAAAGTAATAGGACCATTGATTGTAGATGTAGATCATGTAGTTCTATTAACTGTTTACACAACAATTCTTTACAAAAAAATAAAAATAAAGGAATAGGAAAAAGACACATTATGCTAAAACTAATCAAAAGAAAGCTGGAATGGCTATATTAATTTCAGACAGAGCAAACCTCAGAGTAAGGAAAATTATCAGGGATAAAGACATTTCATAATGATAAAAGAGTCAATTTCCAAGAAGGCTTTACGTGTATGTGCCTAACAATAGAACATCAACATACATGAGACAAAAACTGATATAACTGAAAGGAGAAACCGACGAATCCACTCTCATAGTTGGAGACTCTCAGAAATGGATGGGAAAAAAAAAAGAAATGGATGGATCTAGCAGGCAGAAAACCAGAAGGATGTAGGAGAACTCAATAGCACCATTGGTCAACTGGATGTAATTGACATCTGTAGACCACTTTACCTAACAACAGTGGAATATACATTCTTGTTAAGCTTACATGGAATATTCACCAAGATAGATAACATCTGGTGTCATAAAACATACATCAACAAATCTTTAAAAAAATACATGCTTTCAGACCACAGTGGAATCAAACAGAAAAATTCTTGGAAAATTCCAGGATACCTGTAGATTAACAAAAACACTTCTAAATAACACAAGGCTAAATAAGAAACCTCAAGAAAAGGATGGGACGAATTGAGAGAGTAGCACTGAAACACGAACATTACCATATGTAAAACAGCCAGTGGGAATTTGCTGTATGATGTAGGGACCATTGAATGGTCTCAACACCATATTACTGTCTCAGGCTGCATACTAGGGTAGATTCTAGCATGGAGAAGGCAAGCAGAGCACACATTCCAAGGACAGGGGAGAAGGTGAGGAGCATCTAATTGCCCAAGTCCAGCTTACAGGTTAACCAGTGGCCATGCCCTCTCAGTGATCTTCTGCAATATCCCCTCTCATCACTCTTTCAACATCATACCAAAAGTCCTAGCTAATGCAATAAAAGAAAAGGAAATAAGTGTGTACAGATAGGAAAAAATAAATAAAGCTGTCTTTGTTTGTAGGTTACATAGTTGTTTATGTAGACGATCTAAATGAACTGACCAAAAAACTACTGGAACTAATAAATGATTATAGCAAGTTTGCAAGATACGAGGTTACTACACAAAAGTCAATTCCTTTCCTATATACCAGCAATTGCCAACATCCACTGGATCATCAAAAAAGCAAGAGAGTTCCAGAAAAACATCTATTTCTGCTTTATTGACTATGCCAAAACCTTTGACTGTGTGGGTCACAATAAACTGTGGAAAATTCTTCAAGAGATGGGAATACCAGACCACCTGACCTGCCTCTTGAGAAATTTGTATGCAGGTCAAGAAGCAACAGTTAGAACTGGACATGGAACTATAGACTGGTTCCAAACAGGGAAAGGAGTACATCAAGGCTGTATATTGTCACCATGCTTATTTAGCTTATATGCAGAGTATATCATGAGAAATGCTGGGCTGGATGAAGCACAAGTTGGAATCAAGATTGCCAGGAGGAATATCAATAACCTCAGATATGCAGATGACATCATCCTTATGGCAAAAAGTGGAGAAGAACTAAAGAGCCTCTTGATGAAAGTGAAAGAGGAGAGTGAAAAAGTTGGCTTAAAGCTTAACATTCAGAAAATGAAGATCATGGCATCTGGTCCCATTACTTCATGGCAAATAGATGAGGAAATAGTGGAAACAGTGGCAGACTTGATTTTGTGGGGCTCCAAAAGGACTGTAGATGGTGATTGCAGCCGTGAAATTAAAAGACACTTGCTCCTTGGAAGAAAAGTTATGACCAACCTAGACAGCATATTAAAAAGTAGAGACATTACTTTGCCGACAAAGGTCCTTATAATCAAAGCCATGGTTTTTCCAGTAGTCATGTTTGTATGCTAGAGTTGTACTATAAAGAAAGCTGAGCGCAGAAGAATCTATGCTTTTGAACTGTGGTGTTGGAGAAGACTCTTGAGAGTCCCTTGGACTGCAAGGAGATCCAACCAGTCCATCCTAAAGGAAATCAGTCCTGAATATTCACTGGAGGGACTGATGTTGAAGCTGAAATTCCAATACTTTGCCACCTGATGTGAAGAGCTGACTCATTTGAAAAGACCCTGATGCTGGGAAAGATTGAAGGCAGGAGGAGAAGGGGACGACAGAGGATGAGATGATTGGATGGCATCACTGACTCAATGGGCATGAGTTTGAGTAAGCTCCGGGAGTTGGTGATGGATAGGGAGGCCTGACGAGCTGCAGTCCATGGGCTCGCAAAGAGTCAGACATGACTGAGCAACCGAACTGAACTGAACTGATACCAGCAATGAACAATTGGAGTCTGAAATTAAAATCATAATACCAGTTACATTAGCAGTCCCCAAAATGAAATACATAAGTATAAAAATAATAAAATATGTGGAATATTAATACAATGAAACCTATAAAACTCTGATGGAAAGAAACCAAGGAAGAGCCAAATAGAGAGATATTCCATGTTCATGAATAGGAAAATTCAATATTGTCAAGATGCCGATACTTCCTAACTTAATCTGCAGATTCAACATAATCTCAACCAAAATCCCAGCAAGTTATTTTGTGGATATTGACAAACTGATTCCAAAGTTTATACAAAGAGGCAAAAGACCCAGAATAGCCAGCCCAATATTGAAGGATAAAAACAAAGTTGAAGGACTGACACTACTGGACTTTAAGACTTTATAGAGACATAGTAATCAAAAGAATATGATATTGACAAAAGAATAGACAAACAGATCAATAAAAAGAAGAGAAAGTCCAGAAACAGATCCACACAAATATAGTCATCTGATTTTTCAAAGGGCCCTATTATAATAACCTAATCACCTCACAACACCACCACCTCCAAATAGCATCATTAGGGATTAGGTTTCATCATATGAACTTTGTGGGGATACAAACATTCAGTTACTTATTCATAACTGCCAAAATTTGGAAGCAACCAAAATGTCCTTTACCAGGTGAACAGATAAATAAACTGTGGTATATATCCAGATGATGGAATATAATCTAATGCTAAAAAAAAAAATGAGCTATCAAGTCTTGAAAAGACATGAAGCTTTCTTACATGCGTATTCCTAAGTGAAAGAAATCAATCTGAAAAGACTACATACTGTATGGTTCTAGAACTATATGATGTTCTAGAAAAGGCAAAATTATGGAAATACTCAAAGGATGAATGGTTGCCAGTTGAGAGAGAGAAATGAACAGGTGGAACACAGAAGATTTTAGGGCAGCAAAACTATTCTTTATGATACCATAATGGTGGATACATACATCACGTATTTGTCAAAACCCATAGAGTATATGGCACCAAGAGTGAACTCTAATGTAAGCTATGGACTTTGGGTGATAAGGATTTGTTAATATAGGTTCATCCATATAACAGATGTACCACTCCGGTGGGATATGGCTATTGCGGAAGGCTGTGAATGTGTGGGAACAGGAGGTATATGGGAACTCACTGTACTTTCTGTTTAATTTTACTGTGAATCTAAAACTGCTCCCAAAATAGCCCATTTAAAACAAACAACAATAAGAAAAAACAACTGACACCAGGGATCAAGATTGCTTTGTACCTGGCAAAATGCTATATACACAGGAGGGTTATCATGGCTTGAAGAGGCAAGTGTTTGCACTTTGTGGGCACAGCATGTGGTATTTGCACTGAGATGCTCAGAAAGAGAACATCTTTTGGAGCCGGTTTTTCTTTCTCTAAATAAAGTTAGTGGGCTGCCGGCCAAGGTTGACACCTTTTTGAAGGTGACAACCACTTTCATGTCACTCTCCCTTCTTTCCTAACACACAGGTACATAAATGCCTCAAGAGGCATAAACGTAAGCTTTGTGAATTAACTCCTCAGAGATTACTAACAGCAGAATGGACCCGAGGCTACTTCCTTTCTCTGGGTCTCAGTTTCCCCGCTTAAAAAAGAAAGTGGTTTCAGATGTTTTCTAAAACACTTCACAGTTCTAAGCATCTATGATTCTTCTCTCTTTCTCTCCTGAGCCATGCACTCTCTGGCTTGAAGTTCTCTGGATACATGGTTCTTTCCACCAGGACCACTGACCAAGTCAGTAGCCTGGTTTACTGCTTGCTCTTCTTTCTGGTTTCAGCACAGACATCGCTTGCTTGGGGAATTCCTCTTGGCCTCTCTAAACAGAATTAGCTGCCCGCTCTCCATCTCACAGTGCCCCAGTTAACCTTCCTTTCTGTACTTAATACACGGAGGGTACTTCTCTGTCCACTTGACCCTTCCCCGCTCTACACCGCACCCAGCTGAGAGCAGCGTTGTATTTATTGCTCTCCCCTCAGTGCTGAGGGAAGGAGCAGGCCCAGGTTTCCTTGGGGATGTCCCCAGCTCAGTCTCTACCTGGAGAGCTTCCAGACCCAAATCCTCTGGGGAGGGCCATGCCTCCAGAAACTCACAACCACTAGCTAGAAGCTGTGAGTGAGAAAACATCCTTCAGCAGTAAAAGAACAATTTACATTATTAAACGAATAATTAACAGTAGAACTTACTGCAACAGAGCCTTTCTAAAGAACCACAGAGTCCCTTTAAGTGTGCCGGTTTAAAGCTTTTGTATTTTAACAGAGGGAGAATCTCGGACCTGAAAGCTTCCAATCCAGGTATCTCTCAAAGGTTAAGTAAGGCAAAAAGTCTGAAATGGTCATTAGAGCAGACCTTTAGCCCTTGACTTGAAATTTTCCATTCCATTGACCGGAAGGCAAACCCCCTTCTGTCCTGGCACTTTTTTCCTGTCTGGGTTGGCTGCCGCCATCCGTCACCTTTGTCCAGCTCCGCCCTATATGGCCGGGAGGTTTCTTCTCTGTCCACCGGCCTCAGATTCAGCTCTGGCTGTGTTATGATGGGGCTGCCCCCGCCAGGGCTATGGCTGAAGAGGCTCTGGGTCCTCTTTCAGGTGGCCCTGCATGTGGCCATAGGCAAAGTGCTCCTGATGCTGTTTCCCAGGAGGGTCAAGCAGAACATCCTGGCCATGGGCGAGAAGACTGGCATGACCAGGAACCCACACTTCTCCCATGAAAACTGGATCCCTACCTTCTTCAGTGCCCAGTATTTCTGGTTTATCCTGAAGGTCCGTTGGCAGCGACTGGAGGACATGACTGAACAAGGGGGTCTGGCCCCAAACTCCCCTGTAGTCTGCCTGTCAGGAGAGAGGTGCAGCATCTGGGACTTCATGCAAGGTCAGACGGCTGGTCTAAGTTTAAGAGGTGCTTGGATGGGGGTGTTTGGGGCGGGGGCAGGTGGGATGGAAAGCCTGAATGCCACTACTCCGGCTGCTCATTTTCTGGCTTCTTGTCCTCTTCCCACTTCCTGAAAACAAGGACTTCTCCTGGGTTCTGTTCTTCTGAGTGACATCACCACCTTCCCAGGCAATCAAATGGCAAACCAGTCACACTGGCCATCAGCTCCTTGAGCAGTGCTCTTACTGCACAGTTGCTCTGCCTGAGATGTCTTCACCATCCCCTCCCCACCTCCCCTCCTCCAGTCTGGTCCACTCTGGTTCATCTTTCAGACTCTTGCTCAGTGACACTCCCTGAACCTGGTCCCCTAATCTCAGCTCACGCCCTCTTCTATGCTTCATATCCTAAATTTCTCTTTACACACCTGTCATGGTTGCTAATTATTAATATGTGTGGGTGTTTGATTATTGTCTGTCCTCTTCACTAACCTGCAAGCTCTATGCAAGTGGAGGCTGTGCTCTAACCCACTGTTGGGTCCCCCTGGCTGCTGCTGGCTCATGGTAGTTGCCCAGTAAATATTTGTTGAAGATCTCTCTCTCTCTCTCACTCTCCCAGACAAACCAGCTCTATCTATTTGGGTTCTTAAAGGCCTCTCTGGTCAGGTTTATCTTTTGTCCTCACACCTGCTCTTCCTGCCAGGTCTTCCTCCTCCCCATCTTGCCCTATCTTCCCACCTAACTTGAGGTTGGTCACCAGATACATATCCCTTCCACAAACATATCCCTGGCTGACTGGTACCCCAGCTCACCAACTTTCAGCAGCCCCATCTGCATCTGGGATGAAGCCTGGGCTCAGCCTTGTTCTCCATGTCCTCTCTGGACTGACTCCAGTTTTTCTTCCCAACTTCACCTGCAGGCTTACCCTCGGCACACTGCCTCCAGGTGAACTGCTGGCTCTTGTACATCCCTTGTGCTTTCCCTTCTCTCTCTTTGCTGATGCCCTCCCCCTCATCGCCACCGTTCCTCATCAGCAGGGTCCTGCTCTCGGGTCTCCCCTGTGACACCAGCTCAGACCCCTACAGCTCTCCCGCTCTCCCTCCCTTCTGAACTCCTGGATCTCTGCCTCTACCTCTCCTGGGCACTGATCCTTCCTACCCAGCACTTGGCTGCCCAAGCACAAGTGTTACCCTCCTGCCCAGGCGGGGGCACCTTAGGACACGGCTGTGGAAATCCCAGGGCATGAACACAGCAAACAGAGGAGAGTTCCTGAGGTTATTGACTAATCTAGTGTTGTTCAAAGTGTGTTCTTTGGAAACCAAATCCCATAGACATGCTTTACTAGATAGTGTTCCCTGGTCAAAATAATTTGGGAAATCCTGCATACTATACTCCCCTCTAGGCTTCCCTGGTAGCTCAGCTGGTAAAGAATCCACCTGCAATGCAGGAGATCCCAGTTCGATTCCTGGGTCCAGAATAGCCCCTGGAGAAGGGATAGGCTACCCACTCCAGTATTCTTAGGTTTCCCTGGTGGCTCAGATGGTAACGAATCCGCCTGCAATTCAGGAGGCCTGGGTTTGATCCCTGGGTTGGGAAGATCCCCTGGAGAAGGAAATGACAACCTACTCCAGTATTCTTGCCTGAAGAACCCCCATGGACAGAGGAGCCTGGCAGGCTACAGTCCATGTGGTAGCAAAGAGTCAGACACGACTGAGCGACTAAGCACAGAACATCCTCTCCTCCTGGAAATTCATCATGCGCATGAACATAAGAGCCTCTGAGAGGCCTTGAAGCTTAAAAACAAAAAAAAGAAACTTGAAAAACTTTAACACAGCACTGACTGATTTTCCTAACACACACATACAACTTCCCACTTGCCACCAGAGGGATATCCTATCATCGTCATATTAGTTCCAAAGAACACACTCTGGGAGATGTTGGCCTGATCCAGTGCTCTCATTTTAAAAGGGAAATGGAGGAAACTGAGAGCAAAGGTGACAGAGCCAGTGAGTGACCAAGTCAGACCCAGGATCCGGGCTTCTTCATCCTGTTTTTCCAGTGTACCTCAATAGACATTCATGAGCACCTTCCTTGAGCTAGATCCTCAGCTAGATACCAGGGTCTACTCAGAGCTAGGTAAGAGCTTGCTCTTTTATTTGAGAAATATATGGTTTCATGGTACAGACAGAAGTAATAACAAATCCATACAGTTCCATGAGGCTGAGGGGAGACTATAAAGGTATGAACTTCACCTGCAGGGCTTGGAAGGTTTCCTGGAGGAGGTGGCATTGGAGTTAAGCCTTGGAGAATAAGTAAGATTTTGGTAGCTTGAAAAGGGAAGAGTGTTTTAATCAGAGGGAAGGGTAAGAGTTTTTTTGCTCATGATCTTAAACTGCAGTGCAGAAATGACCTTGGTTTATTCAGCAAACATTCTCTAAGTGACCACTGATGATAAGAGCAATGAGAATCAGCTCGTGTTTACTGTGAGTCTACCTCATGCCAACTCCCATGATAGAACAAGTCTACCTCGTGCCAACTCCTGTGACAGAACCATGACAATTTGCTGACTTTTGATGGTCTAGTGATCAGCTCCATGAAAGCCAACGTGCCTCATGGCCAATTCACAGCATTTACTTGCTTATTTTAACTGCTTACTTTGCAGTGGGCCAGTGTACATTTTATTTTAAAAAATAGTTATTTATTTGGCTGCACCAGTCCTTGTTACAGCCTGTGAATGCTTAGTTGAGGCACGTGCAATCTAGTTTCCTGATTAGGGACCGAACCCAGGTCCCCTGCTTTGGGAGTGCAGTCTTAGCCACTGAATCACCAGGGAAATCCTTAGTGTACTTTCTCAATACTGTTTTATTTGTCTCTGCTCCCTGCTGCTGCACCTGAAATTGAGGATGGAGAGAAAAGGTGTCTGAGCAATGAAAAAAAATTTTATAAAATAGAATTTCAGCGCATTGTTCCAGAGTCCCCTGAAGTAATAGGTATGATGATACAGAAATCAACACAACTGGAAGATCTCATTACTCAAGGAAGGAGTTGATGGAGGGGGAGAGGAAACAAAGGAGTTCAGTAAGGAGTAGGGTCAGGTGGGAAGATGGTCAGGGGAGGGCTTCCTGGAGAAGAGAATGGTGAGCTGATGGTGTAAGGACTGAAACCTCGAGATGGGTGAGGAAGAGGAGGGTGGAGGGGAGGGGCAGTAGGGGTCTGATACGCGGAGGGGCATCAGTCAGTTTGGTAGAAGTGGGGTGTGAGAGGCATGAAGGAGTGAAGAAGAAGGCTGGAGATGTCATCAGGGATCAGAGCTTGTGGGGCCTCTGTGTCTTAGCAAAGAGGGTAGCCTTTACTCTGAATGTATTGGTGAGTTCTTAGAAGGATCTTCAGATAGATTTAACATGATCAGTTATGCCTACTAGAAAGACATTCTGTGTTGATGTTTGGAGGAAACCAACACAATTCTGTAAAGCAATTATCCTTCAATTAAAAAATACACAAAAATTTTAGAAAGAAAAACATTCTGTAAGAGCTTTGGAAACCCATCGGTCCACTAAAAAGCTCTGCTGTATGCTTTATGTATAAATCCAAACTCATTTTGGAGCCCCAGACTGGAAGGTCTGGAAGACTCTTTAGAGATCATCTAAAGCAACCCTTTCATTTTTTCAGATGCAAAGGCCCAGAGAGGTAAAGGACTTGCTCAGAGTCACACAGAGAGTTCTCAGAAAGTCTGAACAAGAACAGGAGACTTCTGACTCTTAGCTGGTGTGTTTTCTATTGTTGGATAAATAAACAGAAGCTCAGGGAAACTCTCAGCCGCCTCTTACCCTCTGCAGGTACATGCACCTGCATACACAAGACATACACACACCACGCAACGCTGATAGCTGCCCTGTTGGGGTAGAAGGCAAATCTGGATGATCGCTTTTCTTGGAACCTGGCCGTTAATCTGAAACTAGATTTATTTCACCCCCTGTTTAAAATCTTCTAAAATCTCTCCAAGTATACTTATAAGGGGTCATCTAGTAACTATAAACGGGCTGGTTTTCTCTTCCGAGAGAGCCTGGTATGGGGATTAATTTACTGGTTTGGGGGTTGACCAGTAAGTTAACCAATGATGGGTTTGAGTCTAGTACTACCACAGAGCAATTTCCCCACTTACACAAACAAGCTGGACTTGACAGTCAGTCCTTGCCTGATGTTCTAGAACTGTTGTCCTCTGCACTGTGGCTTGTGGACATGGGCAGGGTGCCAGTCCCCAGTATGGCCACCCCCTCGCCTCCATCCATTTTCTGTCTGCTACCAGAAAAGCAGGGAACTAAGTTTGAACTTTGCCCTCAATACTTATCACTGCACCCAGCCACACTATAAATAATTAAACAAATGACTGTGTTTCTTCATGTTCTAATCAGTGGATGTTGAAATTTTTTATCCCATTAAAAACAAATTTCCAGACAGCTTGTATTTGGCTCTGGTCCTGACCTTAAATCTCCTCATTCTAATCTGAAGGGTGACTCCCTGGGGTCATTGGAGGCCAGTAGCTAGCCACTTGGCTCTGACTGGCCTCTGAGCCTCTCCTGCTGTGACCTGAGCAAACTTGTCACATGGGGTGAGGAGGCAACCAGCTGAGGCTCTCCCAGTGCCTCCTAGGGCCTCCTGTGAGGTCATCGGTGAGGCAAGGATGACAAGAATGACGTATCTCCAGTGGAACAGGCCTGCTTTCTCCTCAAGTACTGAAAATGAGGAATATATAAGCAATCATGTTTCTCCTTTTCCTTGGCCTTCTGGAAACTCAGAGTCAAATATTAGCTCAGTTACAATTACAAAAGAAAGCAGGAGATTCTAGTTTGATCCCTGGGTCAGGAAGATCCCCTGGAGAAGGAAATGGCAACCCACTGCAGTATTCTTGCCTGGGGAATCATATGGACAGAGGAGCCTGGCAGACTACAGTCCATGGGGTCGCAAAGAGTCTGACACTTCTGAGCAAGTAATACTTTCATATTC